TGCAGTGCTTTGTCTGGATGGACTGGGGAACTTTTTGCATTTGATTGCAGGAATACCGTCCATGACCACAGATGTGGCATCTTCATTAATTGCATACCTCCAACTCTTCAATTCTCGGTGTACACAATTGATTCTTGGGGCGGGTGCAACTCGTTCTGCAGGTCTGAAGAACATCACCACAAAGCACTTGGCTCTTGCGTCGCAGGCATTGTCATTTATAGCCACATTAATTCCTCACGTTCGAGAATTTGTACGAAGCCATGCCGGGTCTGGGGCCGGAGTATCCAGCTTGATGGGAGAATTCGACAAGATCCGCCGACTACTACAGGAACATCAAGACAGTATCCACCAAAAATTGGTCGATATTATGAGCAGTCGTGCAGCGATTCATGCCAAGAACATGAGAGCCATTGACTGGGATAACGCCAGGCCAGGCGTGGTGCAGCCATATATGGAGATTCTTGCCAAGGAAACCACTACGCTGCACCGTGTTCTCACCAAGCATCTTCCAGAGACCTCAATTCAGATGATTATGGAACCCGTTTTCGCTAGCTACAAAGACCAGCTGGGAGCTCCTCTCAAAGAGGCTACTCCCAAAACAGAAGCTGGAACACAAAGGTACGTTTTGCGTTGGCGGGGCCGGACATTCTCATTGGGATATGTCGAATCTGACTAACATAACCCAGTATGCTGCGAGATATGGAATTCTTCGCATCACGGTTGGGGAAAATCAATGGGTTTGGGGATACTGGAGACTTCCTTGCCAATATTGTCAAGTCCAAAGAAGTGAAACCAAAGACACCAGAGCCCGTGGAAGAGACGGAGGGATCCCAGATCAAGGACAAGTCAGCAGACGACAAGAAGACAGACATGGAGCCTGCGACGGAGACCAAAGGGGAGGTTGTGGACACAAAGGAAGAGAGTAAAGATGAGAGTCCATCCAAGGGGAGCGAAAAGCAGCCCGAGGACTAGCTCGGAACATGATTGTTATGCTATATAAGCGGACAAGAAACCACTACCGAGATATGCCTACTGATGTACAAATTACACTATGTTACTAGTACCTAGGAGAGGACGATGACACGCGTACATGGACGATTCATGATCCGCAGCCAGGATTACTTGGACGCATTTTCGAACGTAACAAACACCATGAGAAACCATGTATAGTAAAGTGTCATTTTAAGCCATGATATCTGTTTATCTGTAGTTGCCACCATCATCGGACTCTGTCGCATCACCGGCCACTTACAAGACAGCGGCACCACAGAGATGCCGGATGCGAATGTCCTCCATCTTCAGCTCCACACCAGAGGCCGTCGACCACGGAGCAGGGTGGATTGCCGATGATTAAAGTCGGCGCTAGTTTCATGCTCCTTGAAGTTCGATGCAGCGATGTAAATCACACAACAAGCAAGTTGCGGTTGGGAGACCCGCGGACCCTAGACACTCGTCATCGCGCAACAGCTCTAGCAGTGCCCATTTCGAATGAGCCTATCCCCCGTGACTCACACTTACTTCGTTCCGCATCCATCCCGTAGACGGGACCCATCTCCTCACCGCCAAGCAACTCCTTCAATCCGCCGGCCCGCATCCAACTTTGGCCGCGACACGTTTCAGTGGGGAGGGGGATTTTTCTCGCTCCGTCCCGACTGCTCCTTTCCGCATCGGTCCGTCTTGCTAGTCGGGAAACCGGCGGAGTGGATCACGGCACGGGCGCAGCTCCGGCTCAGATCGGCGTCTTACAACTTTGCCACGACGGGCGCCGCGCAGCAGTGGGGTACAAATCCGGCAGCAATCATCAGCGGCGGTGGTATGAAGCACTGCATGGCTTTGAACCAGGTCTCCTCGTGCACGTGGCATTTCTAGCTTGAGGGAGTCGTGCTTTGCGCACAGGTAAGTGATGGCGTAAGTTTTTTCATCAATGCAAGTTCAGCTCTTGTAGAGAAATACTCTCTCTCCATGCAATGTGCTCGCCATGTAGTCGAACCCCAATCTACCTAGCCTGTGGACTGGCCGTTGCACCAGGCACTTCACCCCAGTGTGATACCAAGTATGTATTTCCATGTCGCAAACGGAGTACTACTCCTCCGCTGGCCGGTCCAGCCTTACACCATCATCTTCGTTACACTGCAGTCACTTGTGGCACTCAAGTTTGCATCTGCTGATGAGACCGACGGCCAAACTAGGACACTTGCAGGCGCCCATGTATAAGACGAATAAAATTAAAACCTTAACTGTATCTTTTATATACTATAATGAAAATCTACCAAACATTTTACGTTTACGCAACCACGCTTCTATGCATGCATGCCATCTACCTCATTAGTTTAGTTTTTTTTTTTCGTTGTTTTTTTTTTTTTTTTCACGTCGTGGCCCCCCCACAGAGCAGTTTATTTGGTTCGCTTGTAGATCTTGTCGAGGAACACCTCAAACACACCCTTCTTCAGGCCCTCACTCTCGTCAACCCTTTCAATCATGGCGCGAATCTCGCCGGCCCTCTTCTCCTCAAACGCCTCATAGCGCTCCTTGAGCTTCATGTCGTCGTACAGCTTCTTGATGACCGCCTCCTTGGCGTCGTCTTTCTGGCCGTAGTTGTCCTCGAGAATCTTGCGCTGCTCGGGGGTGGCAATCTCCAACGCCTGGTTGACCAGCCAAGAGCACTTGTTGTCCTTGATGTCGGTGCCGATCTTGCCAATATGCTCGGGCAGACCAAAGTTGTCGAGGTAGTCGTCCTGGATCTGGAAGTACTCGCCAAGGGGGATGAGAATGTCCTCAGCCTGCTTGAGGTTCTTGGGCGTGGCGAGGTTGAGCTGGTGCAGGGCCAGGGCAACGGGCAGGTAGAAGGAGTAGTAGGCGGTCTTGTAGATGACGATGAACTGGTACTTTGTCATGGAGAAGTTGTCGAGGTTGACCTTGTCTTCCGGGGCGGTGAGCAGGTCGCACAGCTGGCCCATTTCGGTCTGGAAGGTGGTCTCGTGGAAGAGCTCGACAATGTCGATGTAGGCCGGGTGGCTGCGGAAGTATTTCCTGAGGAGCACGTAGATGCTCGACTCGAGGATGAAGGCGTCGTTGATGGCGATCATGCCGACGCCCTCTTGGCGGTACCAGCAGGGCTTGCCGCGACGGGTGATGCTCCCATCCATCATGTCGTCCGATACGAGGAAGAAGGCCTGCAGGAGCTCGGTCATCCAGCCCAGCGTGGCGGCCTGGAAGTACTGTTCCTCGTTGAGGGCGGAGCCGAGGAGGAGAGAAACGGAATCGGGGACAGACATGCCGCGGTTGCACTTCCCGCCGAGGGGGTTGGTCTCGAGGTTCTATCGAGTGTTAGTATACCCATTGGCAAAGGGCCACTGAACGGCAGGAAGCCAGTCAACCCGCCCCGTCTTTGTCTTGAAAAGCAAAATGAAAGAGGCAACCGAGAAACGACCGTGGGGGAATAATGCGCAGAGCTACTCACAGCCTTCAGCCAGTCAAGCTCCCCTTGGGGAAGCTTATACTTGCGCGCATGTTCCAAAATAGCTTCCTCAAGCTTGGGATACACGGCCTCAAACTCGTCGAGGGTCGTTTTTTGCGCCATGACGAACGATTTCTAATAAAGTAAAGCCGACAGCCGGTTCGTCTCCTTAGTAGGCAAATCAATCACTCTTCACAAAGTTTAAAAAAGAATTGAATTGGGTTGATCGAGGGGTCGTGTCGGTCTGGAGAAGGGTGGGTGGTGGGGTGGGAAGTCGAGGAAAACACTTTCAAGCTCTCGGGGTTCGTGGCGGTGGGCAGCTGCCCAGGCTTCCGCCACAGTTGAGCCACAGCAACCGCCACAACTGCTGATCGTCCCGAGTCACAGGAGATGTTCAGGGTCACTACCACATTCGCATGGCCGTGGAGGACATGGACGCGATGAGGGGATTAATTTACGCGGCCTCACGAGAAGCCGCCGTCAACAGTGCACCTCGCATGCCTGATTCGGCTCAAGCGCCCAGGGCATTCCCACACATGAGACGACCGAGCCTGCGCATGACTGCTCGGTACGCCGCTTGGCTTCCTCTTTGGCCTCACCGTCAAGAGGCACCAAGGCTTGCCCAATCGCGACGCACGAGTCCAAGTCCGGCAACTGGATCGAGGCTAAAGGACTCCGCGGCCCCTGACGACTCGGTCTCGATGTGCTTGTTTCTGTAGTTCGTCTTCGTCGCCTATCCCCCGTCATGGGCGTATTGGACTAACTGCTGTTGGGTAGTTCCTGATATCTACCCCTTGTTTTGGGCTCCACTCACACCACCTGCCTTCACATTCACACTCACACTCACATTCACCTTTACACATGGGCATCGTAACATCCAAGGGCCTTTCTATTCATGTCCAAGCTATGCTTCTCCAAACGGGGTATATGTTCTTCCATTCTGTGTGTCAAAATGTCATGAAAAGGGTCTTCTATAAAAGTGTCCTTAAAGAAAGTAGAGAAGTATCAAAAAGTGTGTCAAAGAGTGCGCGGCTCGGGTCTCGCCTCCACCTCCGGTCCAAGTGTAGATGACGAGAGGCACCGAGCCTGTGGTGAAGTGAAAGTACAAGTAAATGATCAAGGGCCGTGGCCAACCCACTCACTCCGAATCGTAAAACGACAAGTTTTTTCTCCCTACAGCCCCGTCCCCCCAAAAAAGAAAAAGAATGATTCCTTACCCAGCTGCGCCTGTCCTGCCTGAAGCTCTATGTCAAGTTCCTTGTCAAACCCACGAAATCTCGGCTCTTGGTCTTTTACCAAGACGCGCGAGGGGTATCTGTGGTGTCCTGAAATTTTTTCCCCCATTTTTTGCTCCGTATGTAAAACATAGCATCGTGAAATGTCTCGATTTTGGCGCTCAACGCCTTCTGAAAAGGGCAGAATTTGTTGGAATCATCAAGATTCGACAAGATCCATCGCCCCTCTAGAAGAAATAGCTTGGCTGGTTTACCAAGCCCCCCAAAGAATAAATCACAGGTGTTTTGATGAGTTGGCTGTACTGTGGCTACGAGAAGTTGATGCCGGTGAATCCTTCGCCGAGAGTGGTGACGAGGTCCGACTCGTGGGTAACCTTGGTCTGGACATCGTCGGGGAGGTAGTAGGCGTTGTTGCAAGGGAATACCGGGCAGCCAGACATGGGAGACTTGCCGCTAGCGGGATACATCTGCTTGACATTGTTCTGGTCTTTGGGGTCGACGATGGCGGAGACATCGAAGTAGGTCATGCCGCCCCAAGCGCCAAAGTTGACCTCACCAAGCATACCAGGAACATTTTTCTGGCCCTTCTGGACAGCGTAATAGTTACCGATCCATTGGTCAGGGAAGTTGACAACAGTCTTCTGCTTGTTGTTGCAGGTGACAGGGGCGACCTCGGGGAAACCAGGGTTAGGGGTGAAGTAGATGGTGCGGACGAGGTCATCGAGGGTCCAGAAGGTGACGCTGGCGGCGCTGGCGGCAGCTGCGGAGGCAATGAGAGCCAGAGCAGAGGTAGCGAAACGCATTTTGGTGTTTTTGAGTTTGCTTTGTTTGCTTGTAGTTGTGTTTGTAAAGACTGTTCGTTGTCTCGAGAACTAGCCTCAGAGATGTACTGTTCAAGGGATTGAAGTTGCTGAAAAACGGAACCTGGCCGTTGTATCGTTTGCTTGCAAGGAATGGAGAAGCAGTCGAGAAAAGACGAGCTTCAAGAATGAATGTGAGTCCGAAGACTAAACACAACAACAAGTGATAAAAATGATGGTAAGGCGGTATGGGGAGCAGCCACAATGGGGGAAGGATGCTTGGTTTATATGTTCATGGCAGCGGTCCAAGAAAAGCGCTAGCTGCTCTCCGGCCAGCACAGACACTTGAGACTCTTGTAAAGAATGACAATGCCATTCTTTTCATGGATCCACGCCACGCGGACCAAGCCCGAGTCCTATTACCATTCTCCTCCGGGAGGGGGACAGCAAGAATCTGGTCCACCGCATACAATTGTACGATGTAATATGCCTGGTGCCCTATCCACACGCCCCAAGTGACATGCGCTGGCATCTCGATCATGGCGGGTACATCTCTTGGTTGCCTTGGGTACATATTTGCAATAAGTACCACCTTGGCATCTGAAGACAAAACCCAGGCAGGCTCGCCACGTTTGTCTCCCGCATCGAGGACGATTACTTGCGCACTAGTTCCCTATCATCTCCATTAAAGCGGAATGGGTCCTGGGCTGGCCCACAGACTACCAAGTAGTTGCACCAACCAGTTGCAGTGGTCGACTTAGATTTTTGTCCATTGTTGAAGTCGTAGTGGAGGGGCGGCCGGGCCCTTTGCGAAAAAAAAAAAAAAAAAAGAGATGTTGACGGCGAGTAGTTGTATTCCAAAGCAGCGTGCCATAGCGTCAAGAACGAAACCCGCCTGGTACAATAAATACATGTCGTCTTGCAGAAGCGGTATGGAATGGCTCCCGAGTAGGAGTAGACGGAGGCAAAAGGAGGGCGCCAGGACGGTAGTCGTATGCGCATGTACATGCTACACAGGGTGTTCCCCTCGCGCCCATGTCCCATAATACTCCATGTCCGTACCAGACTTGACTTAATGCCGCAAGGACCAGGATCAACTGACAGGCTCCAAGGCGTCTGGTTCGTTCAATGTTTGGGACAGGGACACCCTTCTGTGGCGGTCCGCCCCCGCCAGGAACAGAGTTTTCCAAGCTGTTCGAAAGAAGCTTGGCGCAGGGCCACCCACAACCTTTGGTGCCTCTCTCATCCCAATCATGCGCAGTAGAAAGATGGGCTGTTCACGTCCAAGGTTATTTGGGAGGGGTTTCGCTCCCGTCGGCGCATTGTGTATTTCATCATAGGCTTTGCGTGGTGGCCTCGAGCATGCCCATTCTTTTCGCCACTCCCGCCTTCCGGCAAGTATTATTATTATTATTAGACGCGAAACAGTTTGACAGTTGACCAAGCGCCTGGCCCTGCGAGTGGGTTTGGTGGAGGAGCATCGTGGTTCCTCCCACTCCGTAGACAAGTTTAGAATGCGTGCAGGGGCCCCGGTTTCAAGGTCGCCCCAACAGGCAAACAGCCAGACAGCCCGCCAGCCTGCCCCTTGCCAAGCTTCACTGGTGCTCCGTAATCGACTGAATTAGCATGTAAGTGGTTAGCACACGGTGCGCACGGCATCGCGGCAAAGCGGTTGGGGGGCGCGGGTACCTGACACGTCCCAAGTCACCTCGAGCAGATCGAGGCCTAGAAATCTGAGGACGAACGGCGGAGCTTGTTTTCATGCGGGGCCATGAATGCCCGATCGACCCGTAGACAGCCTGGGTGTGCGTGTCTGCGTTGGCTCCATGTACGTGTTCTGTTTGTGGTCTGTTGTTCATCCTACCAGCCCATGACTTGCCAATCATCATGGTACCAGTTGACGACTTATGACCTGGGCAGCATCGCACCGAGGTACTCCGTACGGCGTGCAATATTGATGCGCCAGCCAGCCAGCCAGCCAGCCCGCCCGCCAGCACGGCAGTTCAGCTGAGGACCCGGGGCCGCGCCTTGCTTTGTACTCCGTAGACAGTGAGAATCTTGGGTGCGAGGAGACGGCCAACGTTGGAGCGTCTTTCCGCGTGGCAAGATCGTCTGGTTTGCCCGTCCTTGCCCGCCGCCGCCGGTCTTGTTTGAAACAAGAAACGAAGAGCAGTGACAAACAAGCAAACGCTGGCTTCGCGCCGTCTCCCCTCGGTGGCATTATAGCATAGGCCGTGGTTGTCCAAGTCCCTGCTTCCAAACCTGGTAGTACTTGGCCATTGGCACAGCCATCGCCATCGGCTCATACCGTCCTTCTTTTCCATGCCCGTCGCAAGTTCCTCCTGTCCTGGTCCCCGTCAATTCAGAGGGGGTGTCGTGGCTGGGGCTTGCGTGGCCGCCCAGGGTGTCGTTGCCAGGATTGGCGGAACAGCGTTGTATTCGGAGATGTGCATGGAGTATGTAGCAATATGAATTGATGATTCGTGGCTCCAGTTGGCTTCGGCGGGCGTTGGTGGCTGCCAGGTACCCGATCGGTTGGCCCAGAGGGCCAGTTAGTTAAATCTCTCCAACACCAGGCTCGAGTCGAGCCATTTTGTTCGAGAGGTTCTCCTCCATTCCCTGTCGAGTGTCTGGTCGCGAGCCATGTCGCCTCGGCTGAATATCCCTTCCAAGTCCAAGCCAGACACCAACCAACCTTTGATCCGACCTTCCGTGGCGCAGACACGGGCACCATTACTTGATACATCACCAAGCTCTCAGTCATCAACCCATCCCCGCCTGGAATGGGCTCTACCATAAGAGTCTCTAGGTGTCATCTCCAATCGTGTGTCTGTGAACAGCCCTCAACTGCCGTAGCAAACTGGCGCCCAAAGCAGCAAGGCCTTCGGTGTCTTGCTGTCTTACCCATTAGTCCTAGGTATTTACATGAAATACTAGCCAGCTTGTGCACACTGTGACACAGCGGCGCGATACAAGCTACCTGCGTTGCGGCGGTCCTCTTGGTACGTAGCGTTGATCTACTAGGCTCCATAGCTGCAGAAATCTTCGCCTTCCAATAGCCTGGGCTACAGATTGAAGCTAGATGGACTAACGGTCCCTGTTCCTGATGATCATTGCCAGAGCACGCATGCAAAAAGGTTCCAGACGCCATCAACCCCTGTGCCTAGCGGCCATGACCCAGAGCCGGAAGCCCGGATGAGGGCTCCAATGCCTGCTAGATCAGAGACATATCAGATGGTAACGGTCGTGTAAATCCAATGAGCTGCCCAGAGAGACACTTGGTTTCTGAAATTCTAGCCGTGTTCCACAACACCTGTCCCGACAGCCGAGTGGTTGGAGATACGACGAGGGAAGTCCGAAGGCCGGGCAACTAGTACCTGCCTAGGTAGATAGTTACATATGTACAGTATTGAGCTTCACATGGTAATGCGGAATGCCGGAGTAAGGACTTTTGGTAAAGAGGCCAGAGAGCACCGGGGACGCTGCAGAGACGCACAACAAAGATGCCGTTAGATTTGGTCTCGCGCATGATTCTGTCCCTCATGGCAAGTCCAGGAAGAATACTTTGGAGTGCTCCATACGGAGCACAAGCTGAACAGCGGCATTATGGTGGCGTTGGTGCCAGACCCTCGCTGCATGCTGTTCTCTCATAATTGTCTCATCCATCAGACGGTGCCAGACCATCAACCCGTTGTGAGGAAGCCATCATACTTTTGTTCATGTTAGTTGACGTGCCGAGAAACGAAAAAAAAAACTAAACGCCATGCCTCTAGTGAGCTGCGAGCAGACACGAAATTTTTGCAGTGCTGTGCCCGGTTGCAGCGATTTTTGAGTTTTTTTTTTTTTCTTTTTCGGCGAAGATGGGAAAACTTTGGAAACTTTGATCCACCAGCTCAGACTGAAGGGGTGCAAAAAACAGACCGGTAATCTTGTTCCCCCACCTGCAGCTGGAGACTCGCATTTGATGCAAGATAACCAAGCACCAGTGGACTAGGCGGGAGCCGATGCCTGCATGAGGCTTTTCTTAGCGCTGTAGTCAGCGCGTACATAATTGATGCTGCTACACCGTATCACAAAACGCTGTGAGCACTGTATTTGAAAGCATTAGAGAAGCCATTGTTCAGCGGCATGTCTGCTGAAAATTTTCAGCTTGGCTACGGAGCAGAGCTGAGAAAAAGCTCAAAGGCTCAAGTGCTCTTGCACCATTTGATGCCCCGACATTCAGGCTTCAACATTAGAGGCAATTGATTGGACAGGTCTTGGTGTCGCTGGGCCATGCCAACTCGAGCCTTCTTCCAGCCTTCCAGCACAAATAGACGGCAAACAAGTCAGCATGCAATCAAGGTTCATGTTAGTATTCGCTTTTGTTTGACACGCAACATGTTGTCGTGCTCGGGTAGTGTCGGAGCTCTTGTTCAGAGTGACAGCACCACAATCTATGAATGTCGACAGTATGTACCAAGAACGCGCCATCTGCAAGCGTAGAGGAGACAGGATAATCAATCGTTTCCCAAATTCCAATCTCGGCGCCTGGAAAATGGACAGAGGCCAGGAACATATCTCCACTGTGCCTAGAACACACGTTTCTGCAACAGGAGTAAGTTCGGAGTATTAGCATTGGGTTCAGCCAGGTTCAAAAGATGATCATATCAGAAGCACCGAGAAAATAGCAAAAGGTGGCCGTTTACAGATCATGGCTTACGCCATTTCTCCCTTCAGACGGTGATTCGAGCCATCTGCGGCGTCGCATAAGTGGTGTACTATGAGTTCCGATCTCGTCTAATACACATCACAGGAAGACAATTCCATTGTCATGCAGGAGTCCACATGCAGTACTGACAGGATGTAGGCACGGCAGAAATGTGCCATCCATCGATGGTCGATAGCTAGAATCCCATGTCTGCATATCTAGACGCCGGAAATTCCGAATGAAGCAACCGTTTGAAAGAAGCAGACTTGAGAATGAAGATGTACGCATTTCGCAGCGAGGGGTGCGTGCTTTTGTGAAGAGTAAGAGACCGTTTTGGGGGAGAGAGACGTACTGTATGAATCTTGATTACACACGGTCAATTTACACCGTCACCACTCGACTACATTTGCGTTTGCTGGACCGTGCATTCTCGACGTCGTCCTACATGTTTGAACGTCCAGCGATATCCAGATTCCAACGTGCCAGAAGGTATCACTTCGCAAACGGTTCACTGCGATTCAGGAAACCGACTTCTGAAAACGATGTTTTATTGCTCTACTTCTCACCTTCTTTTTCGTGCCATCGCTACGATGGGTGCTGTCTTTTCCGGTAAGACAAGTGACGTTTGGTTTGTCTCACCTCAAACGTCAAATCAGATCTGTATGATTCAGCCGTCAACAACTTAAAGGTTGACTAGAGATGCGTTCGGAGCTACCACAAATTATTCCCGCTTCTCTCTATTGCTGCCTAGTAGCTCGCGTGCAATGTTTCCTCATCTTGAAGGCCTTCCGTATGTCGCATTTGGACGAGCGACTAACTTTCAATCAGCATTCCAGTCTCGGACATGACAAGCGAGCAGAAAGTTTAATCTATCGGAGATATTCTCTTTTAGCATATCCGCCAAGCAGATGTCAGGGAATCTCCCGAGCCTTTAGCCGGAAACCAAACAACCTCCCGCTTTCATTGCCGCCATGGTTCCACAAAGTAGTGGCGGGAGGAACACGGGCAAGTTTAATGCCACTCCAGGCTGCCAGATGTTCCACGGTTGCCGGCTAGCGATGATTCGCCCAGGCTTGAGGACAGTTGACCGTTGATCATGGTCACCGAGAGGCTCGGTCCGATAGGGTACAAAGGGAAACCTCCAATTGACCAGATGGTTAACAGCTACGCAAGCTCATAATACGCCTCTTCGTGGAGCTATGATGTCTGGCTTTATGAGCCGCAGTATGTTGTGTAATTCTCACCTAGAAAGCATCTGATAGATCCAGGTCCTATTCCTTCCGCTATGCGAAGCCCCGAGGTATTCTGGGGGTCACGAAGCTGGTATATGACCAGTCTAGGCGTTTCCACTAGTGTGAAAGTTTTGCTCGTGTGAGTTCGAGGCCATTTTCAGCAATCATCACCAGTATTTCAATACGCCGTGGACGTACAACTTTTCTTCATCGTTTCTCCAAGATCAATTATGGCCGCACGGGGATTAAAGTTTTGCACAATCTAACTCATCTCCACCACACCAGCTGTCTCGAGGAAGGGATTCAATCCTGTTTCGTTTGTACTACACGGCATGTTGCTGGAATTATTGCATCGAAACAGTCTCAGCCGCATCGTTAGCGGCTCGTATTTGTGGTGTTGTGGTCTGGTAGCATCTTCGATTAAGCTTAGAGTACCCGTCAGATTCCTCCACCAGCCTTTGAGGACCTTGGCTCGAGGTACGCAAAATGCAGGTACAGGAATCGTTGAGATATGCGTCTACTAGCTTGTGGGACGAGCTTTCGGAGACTTTTCCGTGATGTCTCACTGCTCCCGAGAAGCTTGGTCCATTTCCGGCGAGCTGTTGTTAGCGGCATCGGGTCGCAAATAGCTGAGACAATGTCTCACACAACCTTCAACCTCCAAACTTGTCTGAAAGCGGGTTTTTATTCTACAACGTTGCTGTGAAAGCTGGTCTTGTAGTTCAAATCTTCGAGCGCATACACAGATAGGCTTTCATTAAAGCTATGATGAAATGTTTCTCTTCGCTTCCTCACGGGTACAAATATCACGGTAACCTCCCTCGCTCTCAACAGTTTTGTCTTGCCCGGATCCAACCAACTTCATCGACTCTCGCTCATAGCAACCAGCTGTCAACAACTTCACAAAAAAACGAAAAATGAGGTTCTCCCAGGTCTTGACCATTGCCTACTTGGCCGCCGGCAGCGCTGCCGATGAGCAGCAGCCCAGCCAGGCCATCAACGCTGCTGCTGAGTCGTGGATATGGAAACCTGTCAGCAAGCCGCATGAACCTAGCAAGCCGCCGGAATCTACCAGGCCGCATGAGACTACCAGGCCACATGAGACCAGTAGGCCACATGTGTCTACCAGGCCGCATGAGTCTACCAGGCCGCATGAGTCTAGCAAGAAGCGCGAGTCTACCAAACCGCATGAGTCCAGCAGGCCACATGTGTCTACCAGGACGCATGAGTCTAGCAAGAGGCGTGAGTCTACCAGGCCGCATGTGTCTACCAAGACGCACGAGTCTAGTAAGAGGCGTGAGTCTAGCAGGACGCATGAGTCCAGCAGGCCACATGTGTCTACTAAGACGCATGAGTCTACCAAGAGACGTGAGTCTACCAAGACGCATGAAACTAGCAAGCCGCATCGTACCAGCAAGACCACGGAGCGTGAGACCACGACAGAGCACAAGACCACGGAGACGGAGCACAAGACTAGGACAAAGCACGAGACCAGGACCAAGGAGCACAAGGCCACGGAGACCGAGACGAAGCGCAAGACCAGGACGGAACGTAAGACTAAGACGGAGCGCGAGACCGAGACGGAACGCAAGATCAAAACGGAGCACGAGACTAAGACCAAGGAGCACAAGGCCACGGAGACCGAAACGGAACGCAAGACCAGGACGGAGCGAGAGACCGAGACGGAACGCAAGACCAAGACAGAGCGCGAGACCAAGACCAAGGAGCATAAGGCTACAGAGACCGAGACAGAGCGTAAAACTAAGACAGAGCGCGAGACCAGGACCAAGGAGCATAAGGCCACAGAGACCGAGACGAAACGCAAGACTAGGGAACATAAGGCCACAGAGACCGAAACAGAGCGCGAGACCAGGACAAAGGAGCATAAAACCATAGAGACGGAGCGTAGGACCCATACCAAGGAGGAGCACAAGACCAAGGAGCACAAGACCAAGGAACACCATACTGCGGTCACCACCAAAGTCATTCCTACGGCTTTCACAACTTTCTGCCCGGTAAGTGCAGGTCCACAAACAAAACGCTTTTTTCTATAAGAGAGCAAGAAAGGTTGCGCGGCGGACCGCAGGCATTTGACAGCATTGGCTAACATGGCTTGATACAGGAACCCACTACCATCACCATTAATAAAGAGAAGTTCACTGTCGTTACTCCTACCACCCTCACCATCACCAACTGCCCTTGCACCGTTACCGAACCTATAATCACTCGCGTCGAAACCGAAGCTCCCTCCGCTCCGATCTTCACTGCCGCCGCCGACAAGGCCAACGCTGGTATTGGAGCTTTCGTTGCTGCCGGTTTCGCCGCCATGTTGCTCTAAGCGTATCTCACGCTGTCAAGTCAGCGCCTTTCTGTGCTCCAATCTTTAGTCAACCTAAAATAAGGAGTTTGGGAAAGCACTTTGAGCGGTTCTAAATCGATGGTACAAGGCGTCTTTCGGCGTTGGAAGGGAAGTGTTTCATTCCTTTTTCTCTTTCCGATGATGGAACAGAGTGGCTCTGAGCCTCCACTGCTGTCTACCTCCGAAGTAGACAAAAGCCTGGTGTTTATTTCGGGCTGTCCTTCCTTATATATATCTGCATCGAATTATGCCTGACTTTCGTTAATTCCTCTTCTCTAATTCCTGGGGGCCGGGATTGTGTTAAAACGCCGTGCCTCGCCTTGAGGCATGCGGGCTGAGATGGACCGCCTATCCAGTTTACCAGATAAGACTTTTTAGTATGGTTAGTTTTGGTTTTGGGGGAAAAAAATCTTGGGTATTTGGTAATTTATTATCTACTTGGGAACAGTCTCGTCCAAATATTTTGCCGGCCAGGTGTGATTGCTAGTACTATGTACTACTTTAGAACTTCATTGATGTTGTTGGAAGAAGCTACTGGCTAACTACCGGGTTCGCGTTTATACACGATTGGACAGCGACTTTGAGCTGACCAGCCGGGTCACTCACGCACAACTCCGTAACAGGCATCTGTCACTAGATATAAGGGGTAGCTAGTAACACACAACAGTATGTGGCGTGGCCACACCCATTTCTTGGTGCAACAGCATCATAACATGCCACATTGACGTAACTCGTAACAATCCCTACTTGTCCTACACAACGCCCACATACGCCCAGCGGAGCCAAGCACCGCGCGCTAACTATCCGAGCCAAACATGCCCGAAGCCTCCATCCGGGACCTAATCTCCCTCACCAGCGCCTTTGCCTCCTCCACCTCGACGCCGTCCTGACATAGTTCCGTGGCAAGCCTATTGGCAGTGGTATAGTCAGACGTGCGCATGGCGAATCTGGCGAGCCACATGCGTGCTTTGCTCGTAGCAGCCGTCACGCCCGTTCCCTCTCCTCCACCATCCGCACCCGCAGACCCGTCCTCCCTATCGGCGTAGTCCTCCGACGCGGGCGAGTCGGTATGGATCATGACTGAGGATTCGCCGAGATTATTAGCGTCAGCGGCTCCGCCTTCTTCCTGGGCCACGCAGAGCTCCATGTAGGCCTTGGCTTCCTCCTCCTCGCCGAGCTGGTCGTACATGGCGGCGATCTGGAGCAGAATCTCTGGGTCCATGTGTCCCGTCGCGCCGCGAGCACCGAGGAGATCGCCGCCACTGCCGAAGCTACTACCCACATCGTAGTAGGCGTCTGCGAGGAGTGCTCGTTTGAGCGCCTTGATGCCGTCGCGCTCGCGGCCCATCTTTTGGAGGCACGAGCCCACCGCCATCCACATCTTGCCGTCCCAGGGCCGCAGCCCGGCCGCCTTTTTGTAGTACCAGAGGGAGTAGGTGTGCATCTCGAGCATTTCGTACGTCTGGCCGAGGCCGTACCAGGCCCGGTAGTCGCGGCGGTTGACGTCGACCGCGCGGCGATACGACTCAATGGCCGCGTGGGTGTTTTTCAGCTCCACGTATTCGTGGCCCATGAGCGTCCAGGCTGATAGGCACGAGCGATCGAGGGTTAGCGCTCGTCTAAAGTACTGGACTGCCTTTTCGTGCATGGATAGGAGGGAGTAATAGTTGCCGATTACGACACACGATTCCGGACGGAACTTGTCGACGCTCGAGCAGAGGTGTGCTACAAAGGCCAGCTTTGGGCGCATGTTGAGGACGTAGAGGATGTTGGAGTAGTGGTCTAGGGAGTCGAGTCTGTGGGGATGCAGCGAGAGCAGCCGGCTGAAGTGGTGTTCGGCTGCCATGAGGTCTTTGGCGTGGTATGCTAGCAGGGCATTGCAGGTGAGGAGGAACGAGGACGTCGGGAATATTGATAGTAGCTGCGCGAGGGAGTTGGCGAGATTGGGTGTCTGTTGATATAGTTCGAGGGACGTGTGGAGATGAAACATGAATGATACGATGTTTTGAGGGCAGTGCCGTGCTATTTGATTTAACTGTGGATTGAAAATTATTAGTATGACATATGTATTAACAAGATAATGCCAACTTACTTCTTCGACCCTTGATATGATAGATGTCATTTCCAGCCAGCAACCCCAGTTCATGGGATATTTGTGAACGCTCCGGACAAAATAATCCATGGCCTGAGCGTCATTCTTCTCCTTTGCAAGAACCATGCCATATCTACATAGTCGTTAGTCCACGCACAGTATCTTCCAGCGACTCATCCTCCCCCTAACTCACAGATATTCCAACCACCCCTGACTACCCAGCACTTCATCGTCCGTCGTCGTCCTCTCCTTGAACCAAGCCGCCAAATACCTCCCCACCACCAGAAGCTGCTTATTCACCACAGTCCCCAGGTCCTGGGGGCCCATGACCATCTCAGACTCCTCATTCTTGCGCTTCTCCCCAGACATAAACTTGGCATACAGCGCAAGAAACAAGCTCTTCTGGCTGAGTCTCGGTAGCGGGGCTGCACCCGACGCCGGACTTTCCTCCACAGCTTTCGCCTTGCCCTTTGATCGCTGCGACGGTGTCAACACGGTAGTTTCAGATGGCGACGACAGAACAGACGATAGCAAAGACTCTGGGAGGAAAACCGCAGCGCATCGGTCGAACTCTTTACAGTCGAATAGAGACTTGGCCAGTAGATACTTGCTGAGTTCCTTGGTCTCGAGGGCAGCTTCCTCGGGGTCCGCGTTTGGTGTGAGTATTGGCGAGGTGTAATTAGAACCGTCCGCAGGGGTGGCATCATCGGCTGCGTCGGTTTCGGGGAGCGCATTGAGCAGTTCGGCAGCCCTGGGGTGGGCGGGAAGCGACGTTGTTAGCGGCACTCGTCGAGAGTCGATGTTATGGATTTGACAAACCATTTCGCCGATTGGTAAAGGCATCTCTCGGAGCACTTTACCGCAGCATCTTGGAGAGCACTTCGCAGCTGCGAGATCTCTTGCGCACTAAGCGCCATTGCTGGCGAAGGTGGCCGTCCAGATGGAATCGGAGTTGGTTACCGCATCAAAGATGCCCGAGGTAGAGGTGCTCTCCCACGAACGCGTAAACTTGCTCAGAGTTTGGCAAGTCAATTTCACGTCTTTTTGCTCTCGAACTTCGTGTGCAGTGTCGTCGAGTTGTGTCTTGCGTCGCCAAAGCGCGTGTATTGACTATGGTGGGCTGTGATTGTCGCGTAAATGACAAGCTGCTTGGAGATCCCAGATGATACAGTTCTCGCACTGTCCTCGTCACTGTCCGCCCAACAAGCCTTTCATACCATGTCAAGTCGTCAACGTACATGGTAGAGCAAATCAGACTCGTACCTTCAGCAACCTCGCTTGAACTGGCATGATCAAGTACTGCAGATTCTGCTTCGATAGCAAAATTCGCTCCCTTTTCAGGAATCACATTACAACGTCAATTACGAGAGTACTTTTGTACAGAGTATAAACGCAACCTAAACCGAACCGCCCGAGTACTCAAAGCAAAAACACACAAGGAAACCTAGTTGGACACAATTTCTCAGCCCATTCCTTTCTCGTTGCTATTGCCGCGAGCGGTTTCCATTCAGAATTCCACTCTGCCATCTCCCCCGCCATCGCGAACTATTTGCACAAGGTATCCAATCCCACTATTGCCCACGCGTTCCATATTTGACAGATTGAATGAAACCTGGCGGCAGTCCTTCCGTAACGCCAAAAGCAATCCCTTTATACATGCCAAAGCTCATCAACTCCTACAGCCAACTTGCTCACCTTGCCCGATTCACCAGCGGCTCAGGACGATTCAGTTGTGGGTTATGAGGCTCCCCATTATGCGGGCGACGTCGGCTAGATGTAGCTGGCATAGGAGGGGAATGGACATCACCAGCGTTGAATCGATTTGGCGAACTAGAGGTCTTGCTACGAGCACGAGATCCTGGAGATGGAGAGGGACGATGGGGCGATGGCGGCGGTTGCCCAGTAAGACCACCGTCATGTGAAGCAGGTAATCCACGTCGAGACATGTTTCTTCGGGGAATACCATCACGAGGCTCTCTCATTGCGCCACCTGTTGCGTAGCTAACTAGCGGCTGACCAGGAGCTTGCCTAACGCCAGCTGGGCCTTCGCGAAACCGTGGAGGCTCAGGAAAGTCTTTTGAGAAGCTGAGCAAAGGCGCAGGATGCTTCTCTGAGCGACTGCGCGTCGCCATGGCCCCAGTGTCAGCAGTCATTGGTCTGCGCTGTTGGTATGATGACGACGGTGGGTGGAAGGATTGACTGCGAATACGAGCTGAGTGCTCCGCAGCAGAGGGGAACCAAGACGTAATTTCAGGTCTCTTCTTTTCTTCCTCAGATTGCTTTTTGGCCTTCTCAGAAGCATCTGATAAGGAGTTGGAGATGCCACCGTTCAAAAGAGACGGGGCCTCGGTAAAGGGCCCATCTGGAGCAGTCTTGGACACCACAGAGGCAGCATCGCTCTGCTTGAGTTTAGCATCATAGGCATTGCCTAGCAAACCGCCTGCTGCAAATTCCGATTCAGCTCCCTTGGCAGTTTTAGAAAACCCGGCGTCCGCATGCATATTCTTCTTCACAGTTCCGGAGCGATTAACCGACGATTTCGACTTGACAGACATTGATCTTCTGGTTTTTGCTTCCTCGGGCGTGATGACAATCTTACTCATACGGAATGCATTGACATTCATGAGCGGCTCGCCCTCGTCGTCCTTTTGCAATGAAACAGTAGAAGCCCGTACGCTGGTATTACCGCTCCTGATGCTTTTCTTGGGGCTTTCACTGCTATTGCTTCTAGGGCCAAGCGCAATTTGCGGAACTCGACTCTTCTCCTGAAGATCTACCATTCGATTGACCAGATACCAGCTTCGCCAAGCGTGCACCTTTTCAAAAAATCGGGCTGCCTGCTGTGCATCATCCGTCGAGAAGTAGTGGACAAAGTTCTCGGTGTTGGCAAATACGACGGGCTTTTGCTGGCTCTTAATGGCATAGCAAAACTTGTGAGGCGGCCGAAGATGACGGCGCGTCTGACTCTCTCTCGGGGAGTAAATGTCAAAGTCGGTCATGTGGCATAAGACAATACTATCCTTGCTTGAGGCATTAGCATTCGGCGACTTGGCAGCGTAAATCTGTCCGTTTTCAAGAAGCGTCACCCAGCGCTGAGTCCATTTGCCAGTCTTTGACGAGTGATGCATTTGCATGGAAAACCCTTGGGGAGGCTCTGTGGTGAGAGGAGCAGCTTGCAAGTCCAGATCCTTGTCACGGTCTGGGGATTCGGACTTTATAACGAGCAGAGAATGTTGCTTGTCCTTGTCCCAAGAGTTCATGACGTCACGAACGCGCTCGTAGCGACGGAGGCGACGCTCAAGGCCAAGGGCAGAATAGCACTCTATTGTGACACATTTTGCTGGATCTATGTCATGTCTTGTCTGGTCCGCCGTGGCCCCGAGAATGTCAACAGGAGTCGTATCTGCTGTCACCAGCAGACTGAGGGTGGATGAAAAGCATCGTACAGTTATACGCTAAGTCGTGCGCTGTTAGCAGGGAACGTCATTCGCACGTACAAAATGAGCAGGCAAACGCGCCCGCGACAAAACAAAATAGGATTCTGTTTTGGGGCGACTTACTCGCTCTCCGCCGTTGCTAGCAGACACTGGCGCATCGGTTTGCGGAACAACACCCTTTCCTCCGGGCGCAATGAAACTCATCTTGAAGGCGGATAGACCAGGTAGACTGGGTGTTGCTGGTTCCCCAATACTGTCCCGGCTGGAATGGCTGGTGGCTGGTGAGAAGATGGCCGACACAATTGTGCTGGGTGTCCCAGGCTGGCTTGCACCAGTGGATCGTTTACCTCGCGAGAAGAAAATGAGTTTGTCAAGTAGTTGGCGCTTGGGCTTTGGCGGAGGTGCGACGAGGTGGGCTTGAAGTCGCGCAATGTCCAACTTCTTTTGTTCGGCAAGGATTCTATCAGTCTCAGCCTCAAGGCGCGCGACCTCATCAGCCAAGTGGTCGGTGTCCTTGTGGCTTCCTTGTTTGATGTCCGAAACGGCGCTGTCGTCCCTGGGCTCTTTGGGCTCGTCCTCAACCGCAGGCTCGTTTGCGCTCTCGGCCTTTGGCAGCGGTACCGAGTCTCCTCGGTCGTTACTGAGATGGCCGTGTTGTTGGCCCTCCTCTTGGCCCTCCTCTTGGCCCTTCCCTTGGCCCTCTGGATTGTCAACCTGGTTCTGGGATTGAGGACCCGCCGCCGTGCAGTCCCCGTCTGTGCCACCCACGTCCTTATTGGCTGGCTTGTTGATCTTGGAAAACGATTTCCAAGGTGGAATGCCTGAACTAAAAATGGGAGATTTTATATTCTCCAATATCTTGCGGCCAGACGGTGCGGAAATATTGATGGACCTAGGGCTCAGTATGCCTCTTGTGGGCGCCGGCGCGACAGGCGGGGGATCCTTAGACCCTGTTGCGTTGCCGTGATATGAAACGCTCTTGGAACGGGATCTAAGCGAGTTCAGACTATCGCTTTGTTCCAGCCCTGTGCGGATTGAATCGCTTTGAGGGATGTCGTCATCCCGAAATACACCGAAGTCACGCGGCGATGACACGCTCTTGCCGCGCAGACTGCGATACCGTGAATAGGTCTGAGTAGGTGGTACAGGAACCGCCTCGATCGGGCCCAGGTCCCGACCCATGGCGTCATGTGCCATTGTAAAACTATAAGTTTATTCTTCGCCCGCTGCCGATGCTTTCTGGGTCCAAGGCACCCTATTTCTTCGCTTGGGCCCTGTACATAAGCCTGCCTCACAGTATTGTCTATAGAGACCTGGCGGCTGTTGGTGATATGGGGATCAGAAACCAAGCCCCTTGTGTTGAGTTGATGGACGACTTTCCCTGACGTAGCAGGGCGACGGTAAGGTGTGGTGTCACAAATTGATCCCTGCCAGAGCTCTCCGCACGGCCACGATCTGGTCTTGTCCAATTGAATGCAGACCAGCGGCGACACAAGTTTTCGTATAAGTGACGCCAGGTGTCGTCAAATGTGTGGAAAGTTGCCCGTATTCTAGAGGGGGCAGCGACCGATTCGACGGCAGGAGGCCGGCGGAAAGCAGAACTCAAAGAAGCGGAAGAAATTAATAGATTAAGTGATTGATTAATTGAAAAATGTAAAGAACGAAAAGGATCCGTTATGTTATCCCCCAAACAAGATGCCACAGAAAGAGCAAGGAAGCAATGAGGGAATCCAAGATTAACGAGCGATACGGGAACGAGAACAAGCAGCGCTCCTAAAAAGAAAGGAGGGGAAGTAGAAGGGAAAAACAATAGAAGTGCAAGGTTGATCACGTTTCGTGACACTAAGCGAGTGGCATTTTGCGTGATGAGCCGAACCTGGGGAAACATGCCATTGCAACTTGACTTGTCCAACAGTCGACCTCGCACAGCGTCGCCTTGTGATCGCTGCCACGTTTTGCTTTCTCCGTACGGGCGTGCAGCCATCACAATTCTCTTTGCATGCCTCCTCTCCATCTGGCACATAACACTGTGTCGTATGTGTGCTGCGTTCCGCGCCATAACACGCGTCGTGTGCGGTTTTGTCCCTCCCGGACCGTGTGTGGCGACGACATTCCAGGACACTGTCTTGGCTGCCTATGGAGTGCTGCTTGGATGTCTTGGGGTCCAATTTACTCAATCGTGCCAATTTACATGTTGTGGGCCTCCTCGAGCGTCCAAAAGGTAAGACAAGAAGTCTGACGAGGCTCTGTCGTGTCTGTCCGCCGGTCTTCAGGCAGAAGAGTTCAGTCGCCGGGCTGTTGAAATTGAGACCACGTCAGTTGCAAGAGCTGGGGTCGGTCAAAGTTTCTCGGGCAGGCTTGAATTTGGCATTCAGTGTTTCACTGGTGCTTTTCCAGCGTGGTTTTTCAATCCTCGCTGGCGCTTGAGGTGCCTGCTAAACTTGGACTTGGTATTGCATACTTAAGTAAGAAATCCCTTCAATGTTGATCTGTCGTTCAGCGACGAGTAGTATGGACCAACCTGCGGAATTTATTAACCATGGCATCCCTCGGCAGACGCGGCCCGGTTCGGGCCCTGGGTAAACTAAGTCTTCAACCAGGCACTTCCTTCGGCCGAGTGTCGTGCAAATTGACTAACCGAAAACTGCCGAGTTTTGGGGGGCGAGTACATTCAGAACTCCCAGGCGGTGTCTTTAGATTCTGCTTTTCTTTTTTTATCCTTTCGCTGCAATGCGCCACTTGCCCCAGCCCAGGTACCCTGTCAGCCTGTCAGGCCAAATTTAACCTAGGACACAAATACTAACGAGATTATTGCGCCATGGTGTCGCCAGGTAACATGATTCCCGAGCTTTCGAGTAACGGTGGCGCGGAAGACCGGTTTAAATTCAAGATGAGTTGTGATACATGACGAGATCAGCGCCAACTCACCAAAAAGAAGCCATCATGTTCCACTATATATTCTATTCGTGACATCCGGGTGCATTCCTAAGCTCTCGTACCCATTCAGGGGGAGAGGGCATGGGTCTGGAAAATCAGTCAGCAGGACAGCTGCAAATCATACTCCAGGCTTCAATCTTCAGACGGATTCAGTTGTATCCTTTATTTCGGTTGTGTACTCCGTATGAGCGTTCTAGACCTCGCGGGCTCTCTAGGAGCAAAATTCAGCAAAGCGCGCTAGTTACATACCTGCCCGGCTTCCAAATACCAGCAATCATGGCTTGATATAGATTTGGCAGGCAAATTTTTCTTTATCTCTACTTGCTAAATGCTCGAATCTCTCGACGCCACCAATCCACAAAGTTGCACGTGGAAATGTCGATGCCCAAGTCTTGGAGTGCTTTCGTGCTGAGGTGACAATCATAAGGTCTTTGTACTGCAGCATTCGGATCATTTCCTTGCGTATTTGCCTCGATGTTTGAGGTATCCAGCCCCATTATCTGTCCAAATGATTGACAAATCTCGTACTTTGTCATTTTGTCCTCACTAGAGAATTGCAGGATGGATGGTAATGCCTTGCGATGGTCAGGCCCATTCGCGTCGAGATACTTCGCTGCTACATCTAAAAAAACTTCTTAGTTGCCATCTTCACGAATACGCGTTTCGGATCGTGAACAAGGTCATATAGCGCGCAGTTCAAATTTGCAGTATACTGTATCGTGCTATAGGGGTGGTAGGAATGAGGAGTACCTGAAACATACCTCGACATACACGTCCAATATCCTCGGTGTTAGTAGGATACCGAACAGCCCAGTGGTCCATCTTAATGTTGGCGCCTTCAGTCTGGGCTTTCCAGACAGAGTCCATCAAGACATTGACAGCACTCTCGGCGGGGGTCTCAGCGTGGCCGTACAGAACAGGGACGCGTAGGACTATCGCCGAACCAGGTTTCCCGACCTTCGCAGCCTCCTCCAGAATTGCCCGCTCTCCATCGAACTTTGTCTGTCCATACAGGTTTGTTGGTTTTGGCGTTGCATCAGCTTCGTAAGGGGCATCTCCTGGTATGCCAGGGAAGACGTAATCTGTGGAGATATATATGAGCAAGATATCCCTAGATAATGCTACCTGAGCAAGCCGTCGGCTGGCGGCAATATTAAGACTCCTGGCTCCATCGGGGTCTTTATCGACCCGGTCCGGAAATCGTTGAGCAGCAGCTACTTCATGGTCAATACAGGATCGTAGATTCGTGCATCATCTCCCTTCCTTACAATGGACAATGACGTGAGGTCTATTGAAGCCGTGGAGAAGAAAGTGTCAGCGCTGAGCAACAGGTGGGCTCTGCTGGGGAGAATATGGAGAATATTCGTACTGTGTCTCGTCAAGTACGGTGTTGAGCTCATTCAAATCTTCATTCTCGAGATTGACTTTGAGGATGTCAACACCGTCAGCTCGGGAATATCCTGTGCCTTTGACATTCCACTTGGGGCTCTGCCGAAATGCAGCTGTGATCTCGCGACCGAGTAGTCCAGTTGCGCCGGTCACAAGAGCAGTTCGCTGGCCGTTTGATGCCATAATGTCCAGAGCGTTCCGTATTGAGTTGTGAACCCAGAATTGCGGAGGATGTGACGGGTGTTTTCACTTTTAGCTGGTGGTGGTAGTGGGTTCCGCCCATGTAATATACATGGAGGGGTAGTTGGCTCCTTTTATCCATTGAGCAAAATCCTGTTTCATAGAAGTGGAAAAATCCGTAAGCTGGAAAAGAGATGCAGACCTTCAGATGCCTCGTTTCCATGCTTTAAAAAAGAATCCATAACTCCAACTGCAAGCCATTATCGTATTTATCCTTTTGCTCTCACTGTGTTGACTCAGCGACTTATATAGGGTAGCATCATACGCATCTCGTCGCTGCTACACTTATCCACTACCTACCTAGGTGCCTAGCGGGTGGCATTTAGTCAAAATGGGGCCCCTACCTAGTAGCCATCGAGCCGAATACTATAATATCGACTGTCAATGCTATAGTTTATCAGCATATACTGTCAAGACACCATGTTTGTTAACTGTAGGCACTAACCAGGCAGTGACGCATTAGTCGGCAAATACATTCTGCCACAGACTCTGTGGGCCTTCCTTGCTGACGCCACTGAGCACCTGCCTGAGGCACAAACAATGATCGTCAACTGGCGTGAGATAGCTTGATGTTTAGTGGATTTTCCATCAAGCACCCTTTCACTGCAAGTTAAACACCAACATCCCAACACAATGCCGTCGCCAAAGCGGAGAATAGACGCCGAGACGGCAGAGAAACTAGCCGCAGAAGAAGGCTTCATCACGGAAGAGGAAAGCGAGCAAGACGACGGATCAGAAGACGAAAGCGGCTCGTCCGAAGAAGAAAGCAGCAGTGAGGAAGAGCAAGAAGCGCCTAGAAGATTGATGATACGGCCGAAATTCGTGCCCAAAAGCCAACGGGGAAAAGAAGCACTCAACAAGGAAGGATCCGAAGAAGAAGCCCGTCTCGCCGAGGCGGCCGCCAAGCAGAAAGCCGCCGACGAGCTTGTCGAGGAGCAAATACGAAAGGACCTTGCTGCTCGCGCAGCCGGCAAGAAGCACTGGGACGACGACGAGAATTCCGACTCGGACGTCGACACTACAGATGGCCTCGACCCGGAAGCTGAAGAAGCGGCCTGGCGCGTGCGCGAGCTGAAGCGCCTCAAGCGTGCCAGACTAGCCATCGAGGAGCGCGAGCGGGAGCTGGCAGAGGTCGAGCGCAGACGAAACCTCACAGAGGAGGAGCGCAAGGCCGAAGACGAAGCGCACCTCGCCAAGCAGCGCGAAGAAAAGGAAAACAAGGGCAAGATGTCGTACATGCAGAAATACTACCACAAGGGCGCCTTCTTCCGGGAGGAGGCAGAAGCGGCTGGTCTCCTGCAGCGCGATATCATGGGGACCAGGATTGCGGATGACGTGCGGAACAGAGAGGCCCTGCCGGAGTACCTGCAACGGAGGGACATGACAAAACTGGGCAAGAAGGGTGCCACCAAGTACAGGGACATGCGGTCCGAGGATACCGGTCGCTGGGGAGAATTCAACGATAGGAGGGGCGGAAAGTTTGGCGGCGATGAGAGATTCCGGCCTGATGACGAGCGGTTCAAGCCCGACGAGAGGGACGCAAAGGGCGCCAATGCGATCCCCCTGGGCGACAAGGAGAGACGAAGAGACGACGGGAGAGGGGACACCTACAGACCGAGGGATAGGTCTCGGTCTCGGTCGCCGAGGAGGGAAGGCGACAGACGAAGGAAGAGGAGTACCTCAAGGCATACACATGACGGCGAGAAGCGACGGAGAGTGAGTCCATTATAGATGATGATACCCCTGAGAATTGTACAATATCAAGGCCTTGCGAGCCAAAAAAAAGCCTATTAATTTTTCTCCCACGCTCTGCATATCTCGTAGTACACCTATATCCGAACGATTTCTACCCTCGCCCTGTCGAATATCTTGTGGCTCTGCATCTCGTCCTCCCCAACAGCGGGTGGGTATAATGTCATCCTCGCAAATGTGCCCGCACCTCTGCGTTTCGACAATGGCCCAGGATTGATGGCTAACACGCTCTCGACGACCTAATTCGTTAGCCCTGCCCCTTGTTTCCTCACATGCCAAAGAAGAATAAAATGAAACCACACCAATATCCAACGAGATGACCACCCCCCTCAAAAAAAAAAAGAGGCTAAAGGAAGGGGAAAAAACAAAACATACCTTTGCAAAAGGCGGCAGGGAACTAGGAACCAGCATAACATCCGGCCTGACATTGACCATCTCCCCCAACTTCAGGTATCCGACATCCAAGACGGCGCCGGTCGCAAGGCCCTCCTCAGTCCCCGTCTTGGGCAGCCGCGTCCTCTCGGCGGCCGGGAACAGCGGGAAGTAGTGCCTCTGCTCAACCAGATACCGGACCAGCCTGGCCATCAGGTCGCCGCTCGTCTTGGCCAGCTCCTCGCTCCTCAGCTCGTACAGAATATCCTGCGTCGAGATACCCACGACCATTTCGTTCATGGACAGCGTCATTGGGTTGGACACAATCCTGACCGACTTTGGCAGATCCAGTTCCCTGCGGAGCACCGCGTCCTGCGGCCAGGAAACGTGCTTATCGAGGACATCCCGCACGGCGGGGACGAGAATGACGGTGAGGTGTGGGTTGGCAGAGCACGCGCGGGCGAGGGCCGGCGCGAAGAGGCACTTGAAGACGGTGGCCATGGTGGCCGTGTCCGGATCCTGGACAGCCTCGTCGGGGAGATCAAAGTCGCCCGTTGCGATGAGCGGGTGGTCAATGTCGAGGAACGGCCCAGCGAGGACCAGCGCGTCGGCATAGGAATCGGCTGCCCGGGAGCAGAGCGCATGGAGCGGCTCATAGTCGAGATTGTCGTCGGCCGTGTACGGGCCCGACGCGTACATGATGGTCAGCGGCGCGGGCTCCGCATCCGAGTCCATGGCGTCGGCGTGGCCCCTGAACTTTGCGCGGTGGGCCTCGAGAGCAGACGCCGTCGAGGCGGCATTGGGGAGGAGAGGGATCTCGAGGATTTCATGGACGACGAACTCGTTGCCCGTGGCGTTGTGGCCGCGCAGCGCGACGATTTGTCCCGGGAAGAAGCTCCACGTTCGGATCTTGTCCATCCGCAGAGGCACGCGGAGGCCCATTCCTGTCCGGCGGGATGTTTCCAGCACGAGGGATGCGGTGTTGAGTCTGCCCTCCATCGAGTCGGAGGCGATTCTGCCCACGGCGACGACCTCGGTGGTGCTTTGGCTGGCGGCGCTTCCAAACGCCGAGTCTTCTAGCTTGTGGTGGTCCTGTACCACCGTGATGAACTCGTCGATGCGGTCGTCTAGAATCTCACTTGCTTCGGAGAGCTTCATAGCCAGCGGCTTGTACGCCATCTTCTTGATATCGGACGCAGCAGTCAGCTTGATTCTCGGCTCGGCGAACGGCGCAATGGGCGCTTCAGCGGGTTGAAGATGGCCATTCAGCACCTCAACGACATCTCCTGGGTTCAAACGGTCCGCAAACGAAGTGCTCCTATTGTAAAATCAGCACGGAACCAATCATCCAAAACGAAAATAACATACGGCAGCCCATTCATAGCCTTTAACTGGTCATCCATCCTCGCCGGCGAACTGCCCACCTTCAAACCGTCCATCCTCTTCTTCAAGGCACTCCCTCCCACGCCACCGCTACGATTCAACCTCCCCGTCGCCGGCGTGCTGGGCACCAATCCGTCCAACATTCCAAACACGTCGCCGCCCGAGCTCGCTTTGGGTGTGGCACTCAACACCTTGCGCTCGTTGCGCACCTGAGTCGCGCGGTGGCTCTTTTCCAGCTCATCCTGTATGCTCTGCTTTAGGTTTCGTATTCTGGAAAGCGATAGACCGGCTTGCGCGTCCAAATCCATCTTTATGCAATAGGATTCCCATTTGAAAAAGAGGTCATCGACGGAGAGGTCGTGCAGGCGCAAGATGGACTGGATCTCGGTGATGATGTCTGGTTCGAGGGGGGAGTTGGGTGAGAAGCGGGTTTGGATGTCGGATTCTGACATGGTGGGCAGAGAGAGCAATCTGCTCTGGGCGAGTATCTCTGCTGCGAGGATCAATTGGTGCAAGGGGGGATATTTTGTCCAAGGTTAACGGCAACGTGATATTCGATTTGGAGTTTGAGGGTCCATGTCTGGCCGGCTTGATGGTGGGGTCAAGTTCAACATTGGGTCGGGTTACGCGACGCGTCAATTGTTAGCGTTCGCGTAAAGTGCCTAGCCACAGCCATCACTGGCGTCATGTTTGCTTGGCTGCTCGACGTCTAACATCCCTGCAAAGCTATAATGCGGCTTATGGTGCTCCGTATACTCCGTACACTCTGTGTAAATAATTATACCAGCTTTTGCAAGCGCATTACATGCGACTTAGATTATCAGCAAAGCCATAAGCTTGTTAGCTACCTCCTCAAGTACTCAGCGCATCTACTCTAGGGCGCTCTAGCATCTGTGATTCGTACCCGCCATTTTGGCTTCCATATATATATATGCAGAGGAACAGAACACAACCCAAACTCCAATCCTGATTACAATTCCAATTCCATACGTATGTGCCAATCACTGGTATCCTTTCACGCTCCATAATTCGCCTAAAAAGAAAAAAAAAAGAAAAAAAGAGAATATGCAAATGGAATAGTTTTAATAATGTTCATGTTCCACTAGTGTCCATGCCGCCAGTTGTATCAATATCCCACTGAGCCCATACACTAGAAGAGGCGTGATAGTCAAACGACATAGATCCATCTTTTGGAGGCGAGCTAGGCAGAACAGCATCTGTGCTGAGGAGGTTGCCAAAATCAATCATGCTGCCAGCATTACCGTCCAGCGCTGGGAGACTGCCCAGATCCAGGTCATCGCCCCCAAAGCCGTTGCCCTCTGAGAACATCTGGCTGATGGTACGGCTGATGGGGGTATCGAACACTTCGAAGCCCTCATGGTGGTTGCGAGGGCTGCGTCTTGGGCGGCCGCCTTCAGCTGACCGCGACGTCTTGGTAGGCGTTTCCTGAACAAGAACTTGGCTGGGCGATGCAATTGATCTAATAGATCGAATTGATCGAGAAATGCTTCTCGTAATCGGTCTGTGGCTTGGCGTGGGACGCGTAGGTGTTTTGAAGGGTTCATTAGGCGTTCCAGCCTTGGAGATTGGTGTTGGAGTTGATGGTCGAGCAACTGTCGGGTTCTTAAATACCGCTTCGAGATCGTCGTGATCATTGGATTCTCCATCTTGCCTTGTGCTTGTCATATTTTCCTTGCCAGCCCCAGAGCCTTTTGACAGACCCTCATCAGAAGTCTGCACGATGTTAATGTCGATTTCTTCGAGTGTTTTTGGCATTCCGTCTTTTCTGGGCGAGGGGAATAAGAGTCGTTTCGTGCTGCCCACTGCTTGATCAAACTCCACATCTACGGGGCTTTTTGCAGTGCCACTCCCCCTAGAATGAGTCGAGCCAGGGTTAGATTGCACTTCCTGCATGTCGAGACTCGCTGATGCCTCATGCGTGCCAATGTCCCGATCCGGTTGACTCTTGTGTAGATCACTGTGCTTGGGAGAAGATGGTTCGATGGGGCCGAGTGCATCAGTCGGGAGATAAGCCTCGGACGTGGGATTCACTCCTCCGTCATCCTTGCCACGAGACTTTTTGCTTTTACCGGTACCTCGCTTTCTGCGTTCTTGTCCCGTCCGCGAGAGATCCTTGTCCCACCTGTCTTGAGGACGGTGGCTTTTGCACTTAGTGAGCCAGATGCCACAAGGGTTACAAAGCAACCGCTCCTGCCACTTTGCTCTATCATCTGAAGATCCCAAACTCTTCTTAACAAGGCGGTGCACGGTAGGCTTTCCGTCTGCGTCTCGCTGCAGAATCTCGATTGCTGTAATTTTTCCAGGCTTCTCAGAGTATTCACAGTACTCAGGAATACCGTCATTTTCCTGTACCCAAATTTTGCGCCAGGTGGGCGTCTCAATAGCTCCGCAGTTGCTACAGTATGGAGGCATCTCTCCATTCATGATGGCCTCTTCTAGCCTCTGCTTGATGGCGTGCTTCTTTACAATGTTCTTGTTTGCCCTGGATGAAACGATTGGTGGAGATGAGGGTGCTGGGATAGCATCACTCTTGGCGAATGTAGAGTTTGTGTGTTCCATGCTTGTAGGAAGAGCGATAGGCACCACTGGGTCGCTCGCTGGAACCGGAAGAGTGAGGGGACCAGTCGAGGCTGCTCTCTTCAATGCTGAAGGAGCCGGTGGAGTCGGGAACTCATTCTCGGCAACTATGGATTGTGAAAGAGAAGATGGCCCAGCAGGTTCACTGGCTGGGATTGTTGGTAGGGCCAACGGCCCAGCAGACTGAGACCGACTCAACTGCCTGGGCGCCTTTGCCACGGCCAGCCCCTGCGTGGGTAGTTCCTCTTTTTCGACCTCTTTCTGGGTATTTTGTGGTTGTAACTGCTCGGCTGTAGGTTTAGGTGCAATGCTGACAAGATTGGAAGTTCGCCGGGCAGTCTCGTCCATTCCTGGTTCGGCTGTCAGCAGAGGGCTCGCTGCGTTCTCGACGGCGTCAGTCGTTGGCGGAGGAGTGGGAGCCATGCCTAGCGGAGAAGCAGGCTTTGTCTTTTTCTTCCTGGCTGCTGTCCGGCTTGGTGCCTTCTTCAATGGTGGTAGTGATTGAGTGTCACTAGCACATTCTTTTGCTGTCGCTGGGACCGGCTGAGGGGTATTGTAGCTGCAAATGTGAACGAGATCCTGTCCAGCTGGGCCATCCTGCATCTGGAAGACTTGAACTGGCACTCCGCTAGCATTCTTTGACTCGGTAGGTTTTCGAGCTGCAGCTCCAGCAACTGCTTCCGTCGGTGCGGGGATTGGCGTGTTGGCTTCATCACCAAAGAGTTCATCCAAGTCGTCAGTAGCAAAGCTAGCATCGCGAGGAAGCTCAGTCGGCGGCATAGGAGGAAGAACAGGACTTGAGGGAGGAGGGCTTGATCGAAGGAACGGAGTAGCTCGCTGTATGGGCGGTGATGAGCCAATATCTGCTGGGCTGTCTACCGAATAGTTTGGGGTGGGTGCGATGGACTCTGGTGACCGGTCGTCTTCTTGGCCAGGTGACAACGGTTGCCTAGATTCTGCAAATGAAGGGTTATTTGAAAATGTCTGTTGACTTAGAGTTGACTCTCGTCTCAGCTTGACCGGCCCGGGGCCTCTTCCTGGACCAGTGCGAAGAGGACCATCTGGAACTGGCGTAGGGGCTCGAGGAACTTCCTGTAAATGGTTGCTATTTCCTGAAGCACCCTCGGGGTTTGCCAAAATAGGTCGAAATGCGCGTAACGAGCCCGAGGTGCTAGCGGCAACTCTGAGAGACTCGGGGCCATTTGCAAAGAGGTTTGGTGCCGTTCTTTCAACCTGGGTCGTCTTAACCCTTTTCTTAGCAGGGCCGTCTTCTCCTTCTGTGCCATCTTCATACCCGGAAGTATTTCCCTCGACAGGGTTCTTTCGCGGTCTGCCTCGTGGACGGCCAGTGGGCGGTTTTCTTCTCGAAGCTCTGTTAGATGCCCTACTAGACGGTCTTGATGACGGTGCACCTCCGTCTGCCCGTTGCTCGCTTGGATCAACCGGGACGGGCGCTATTCTGTGAACGTCCTGGGTGGGCATCTGCTGTTGCTGAGCTGCTACTGGCGTAAAGGACTCTCGATTGCCCATCATGGAAGGTTGCTGGTGGTGGTGGTTGGGACCCTGGCCTTGTGATAACGCCGGCGAAGCAACTCTTGAGACGTGACCTGTCTGACCGATTTGCGGATTCGACTGAATAAATGTATTCCACTCCGAAGCACCCGTCGGAGTCATAGCACTCTCCATTGGTCTACTGTACTGTTGCATGTCGTTGCTATTGTTATGAGGGGGTGGTTTATTCGATCTCGGTGCGACGGATAGCCGTAATCTGACCTCGAGAGTCTCGCGATTGCCACCGCCAAAAACACCCAGCAGATTTTTGGTCACGCGGCCGGTGACCATCTTGGGCTGCTGCATCATCGATTCACCCTGCATAGCCTCGAGAGCCCATGAAAGCATGCCCTGGCCAACCAAGGGAAAATCGGGTTCTGAAAAGTCGACGGCGTAAACGGTGTAGTCATTCTCCTGGCCAGCAAGCTCGGGGCTGCACTCCGTGACGGCATGGATACATGACCTCAAGTCAACAACCCCAATTGAATTCGTCTCATCGATAGGAACCGTTTGGACCCGGAGAGGCTGGGGATATCTAGCCAAGCAGTTGACCTTTGCTTCCCTGTCGAAGGTGTAATGGACCTTAACTAGACACGAATCTGTTAGCTGGTTACAGTCATAGACAGGACCGGGAACAAAGGCGCTTGACATACGGCCCATTGGTCTGATTTGAACGCCATTTTCATCAACTTCCGCCGGAGGAGCTTGAGGAGCCTGGGCAGGCAGATGCTGCTGTTGATACTGACGTTGTTGCTGTTGAGCATACTGGCCGTTCCAAGGGTCGCCCCCCCTCGGCAAGATAGGAACAGGCGACGCCATGGCTAAGGCAACCCCGTGTGACGGCGTGTGTATCAATCGTTGCGATTCTCAAATACACACGATAGGAAGCTTTAGCAGGCGAGTTATGCAGGAAACAAGTAACAAGGAAGCAAACACAAAAAAAAAAAAAAAGGTACAAGAAAAGAGATCTGGAGATCTGAATGTGGAGTGGAGGTTTGTTGGCGAGTGATAATTGCACGATTAATCAAATTGGGGTGGCGGTGTCATGTTCGTGACCTGAACGCGCCTATGGAGCTGTTCTGGCTCTTGTCGCGTTGAGGCGGACGTGAGACCGTGAGAGAGTGGATCCTCGTTAAAGCTGCCGCTTTGGAACACCCGTAGCTGCAGCTGCGCGACAGGGGAGTAGGGGGAAAGGGTTAGCCACGGGGTGCAAATGCAGGCTAAAAATGGATAAAAGGTGTAAGAGGCAATAATAATAATAATTGAAAAAAGCAGCAATTGCCAAAGGTTGAGGAGTAACAAAGAAAGCAAATCCAGGACGTGGTTTAGCGGAGACAACAGTTGCCTAACAAAGATGTTGTCGTTTGGCAGCCACACCAAGTCAGCGCGTGTGCCACAGCAAACCAACCCGACTCTAGACAGGCAATATGCCCACCGTTGGCCGTTTCAGTTCTAAAAAAAAAAGGATGAAGGCTCGGTATAGGGCTGCAAGTGGTGAGTAGCCCTGTCTGGGGATATCTGTGAGCTCTCCGGAAATGCAGCTTCAATGGCCCAGTATCTGAGACAGGTAAACGCGGCAGCACGTGACGAATCTGTCAGACGCCTTCAAGCGTGGGCCGCAACTCGACGTTGCGTTTGCTGCGGCTCGCAGCTGGAGAGGCGCCGACTGGAAGCCCCACCTCCCAGTCTGGTGCCCGCTGTGTCCCGGACCCACGGGTGTCGCGGCTCCGAAGGGCGTTCAATGTTGCTTGGTGGCTATAAGTGGCAACCCGGCTCCTGGCATCTCGCTGCAGAACAAAGAGAGCAGGGCAGTCTTCCTCATACATCGAGGCCCGACCCCGGACTTAAGTTGCGCGCTCCGTCTGGCCTGGCAACTGGTCCTCGATTCAAGTCGACTCTGGTCTTGGCTGATGGGTGAGGAATTTCCGAGATTTCGTTTGTCGTCTGTCGTCGGGGACCCGGGACTTGGTCGTGTCATTCGTTTGAGGCGAGCTATCTCATCCTTTGACTCCAGGTCCTTCCCATCATGTTCTATTCCATGTTTCCTCGGCCACGAAACCGGGTGCCCCCATGCCTTTTATACTCGTCCGCCATACCGGGCCCATGAAGCCATCATCCATCCATCCCCTTCAGACGCTTCCCATACAGGAGCACACAGAATGCAGCGTCCTCCCCCATCATTTTCCCACGCAATCCTTCCCCGCTTTTGCCATCCTCTCCATGACCTGTTCATCACCCACCCACCTGCCACTCGTCTTGGTGTTGAAGCTCTTGTGTCTCCCCTGGGCCCTCTTTTCTCATACTATCCTGCTTTTCTTCCGTACAGTCACAGTGAAGCCATTCCATTAGGCTGCCATCCCGGGCCCCTCACCCACCCTCCATTGGCCCGCACACATCCTGACGCCCGTTGCGCCATCCACTTAAGTTGAAGATGAGCCTGAGGTTATTCCGCTCCGTAAACGTCCCCTCGTCGACGCTTGCGATGTTGTTTCCGCAACCGTGGCCACCATTCGCGTCCCCACATTTTTCCTTCTCCGTGTAGGGAAGTGCCTTCATTTGCATCCATTCCCGCCCCGTGGTTCAGTTGATGATGTGCCTCAATGCAAATAAAATGTAACGGCGACACCCAGGGATTGTCGTGCGCTCAATATTGCAGTTTATATATCATTCATGTTTTTACACGGCGGATCGTCACGCTCTCCCCGAGACATATCCTACCCTCTATGTAGAACCTGTCTAAAACATCCCATCTGTCCTCTACAATCGGCTGCCTGCCGATGCATCCTCATTCACCCACTTGACTTTGCCCTGGGCATCGACCGTGGTCTTGCGACTAATGATCTCGTTGACAACGTCTGCAATACCCTGGCGCCCGTTCCTTGATGCAACAATGGTCTTGGTCAACTCCTGAGGCGTGTAGCTACCACCGCTGATGGCAGCCTTGATTTCCTTTTCCGTGGGCACACCGAGACCCTGGTAGGGGTATTCGGAGTACGTACGGTCTGTGAACAGCTCCAGAGACTGCGTCTTCTCGAAGTCGAAGAAGGGCTGTGAGACGTTCTCGCTGGCGGGGATGGCCTCCAGTGACTCAGGCTGCCACTTGGGCTTCTCTTTGCGGACCAACAATGCTGTGACGCCCTCGGTGAAATCGGGGTGTTGCATGAATTTGCTGGCAATCTGATGCTCCTTGTTGAACGTCTCGGCAATGTCCCACTTGCCACCAACTCGCATCTGCCTGAGAGTCACATGCACTGCCGTCGGCGATCGCTTGTTCAACGTGGCTAACTGCTTCTGGGCCCAGTCCGCAGTCTCCCCCTTCTCTGCCTTCAAGGCAGCAATAATGTCGGAAACATTGTTCTTGCTGAAGCATCGATCAACGGCCTGGCGGACCGCGCCGCCCAGCTGCATTGGCTGGTCGTAAGGCAAGCCAGTGCAAAACTCCTCCAAAGTGTCATTGATAATTGCAAGCCTCTTGGGCAAAGGGTCATCGTCTCTGAATCGCAGTTCGGCAAGGCGGGCCTCGAGGTCGGGCAGGCTGGTAGAGTGAAGGTAGTGAGTGGCGATGCCAGAGTAGAAGACGTTTGGACCAGTGAGACGCTCGCTGGTAAGAGCTAGATAAGTGCCAACAGCTCCATTCATCCTCGGCAGGAAAAAGGAGGCTCCAACATCGGGGAAGAAACCGATCGTTGTTTCAGGCATGGCAAAAACTGTCTTCTCAGTCGCAATTCGGAAAGGGGCGTGAATGCTGAGGCCAACACCGCCGCCCATAGTGATGCCATCCATGAAGGCAATATACGGCTTCGCATATGTGGCAATGTAGTGATCCAGTTTGTATTCAAGGCCAAAGTAGTCGGCCGACCTTTTCCATCCATCGGCACCCTCCTGGTTGTACTCAGCAAGCGCGGCAACATCACCGCCAGCGCAAAGGGCCTTCTCGCCGGCTCCCTTCATCACCACAATGTTGGCCATGTCGCTCTTTTCCCACTCGACCAGGCGGGGCACAATCTTGCGAATCATGGAGGCATTGAGCGAATTGAGCTTCTTGGGTCGGTTGAGCATAACGCTGCGAAGACCGTATTTGCTCTCGAAAACGACATCATTAGGTTCGTCGCCGGGGAGTTCCTTGATGGTGGTGGCCTCGGTGGAAAGCTAGTAAAGCAGTAGATTAGCAAGACATCGTTCCCGATGGACATTAGGGTTCTCCCGGCAAATGGTCAGAGTAGACGTACGGGTCGAGCGCCCCAGGAGCTCAGGACTTTAGCTTGGTGTGTCATGTTGAGACTGCTTCTAAAGCTCCAACTGCTTGCAGCATTGGCGGCCGAACCAGCTCGCACCGCAATTGCTCGGAAAGACATTTAGATGGAGTGTAATGGACGGTATCACGGGGCGCTCCCTTGTGATAAAAAGTGCGCATCGATTGCCGCGGCAAAGATAGTTGTGCCGGGAGTGCGGATTGGAGGGTGCTTAAGCTGACCAGACCGGGCCAAAACGTCACGGCAATTCGCATTCTCCATCAAAACCTGAGAATGTTTGGTAGCCCGAGAAGTGGCTGCCGTCGCTTGCCGCCTTTGCGCCTTGTCCACGGAGTACGTGCCTAGGCACCTGGGGCTCGGGCGGCGCAGCCCGGGTTTGCAGCAGACACCAATGAGCCAGTCAGATGCAGGTTGGGCCCACTGGCCCACGTCTGCTGCATAGGCCAATCAGAATCACCCACTTGCTCATGTCTCTCCAACTTTTCGTCGAGACTTTTGGGTACTGCGATCGCGCGTTGTAGCTGCCATATCCCAGCAACACACACAAATACCTTCAAGATGGCAGATCCCAAGATTCAGTACGCTCTACTACATCCCATTCCGTCCATCTGACCGGCATTGCTTACGCTATTATAGGGAGCTGCTGAACAAGCCGCGCAACGAGCTCACGTATGCATCCATCCTTCTGTTCACTTCCCCCTCCCCTCTCATCACCCACCGATGAATATACCCGGGACCGCTCGCTCGTCATCTAACCAGGTTCAAATATAGTGAATACGAAATCGCAGAGCTCGAAGAGCACGAATTCACCTCGGGCCCCCTTTCGATCCTCCAGACCGCCGTCAAGTCGCACACCCAGGTCCTCATCTCTATCCGCAACAACCGCAAGCTCCTTGCCCGCGTCAAGGCGTTCGACAGACATTGCAACATGGTTTTGGAGAATGTAAAGGAGATGTGGGACGAGACGCCACGATTAGCAGATGGAAAGAAGGGACGACCTGTGAACAAGGATCGATTCATTAGCAAGATGTGAGCATGCCCACCAGCCCTTTGACTTTGGATGTGCGAAAATGCATGCCCTCCAGAGGGAGCAAATGTCCAGCTGACATGAGACGTTTAGGTTCCTGCGAGGAGACAGCGTTATCCTGGTATTGCTGAGCTAAAAGGGTCACGACGGTTGATTTTACGGCATGGTTTTATTTTGGTTGTTAATGACATTACGCGGCTACCTTTGGCCTGTGGGATTGTGTGGGTGATGTACCGGTCGGCTTGCGACATTTATTTCACGTTATTTCACGGGAATGGACGATAGGCGTTGAAGAAGAAAAAACAATCCAGTTACACACAACTATGCGTTGGCCTTATTGCTTTGGTGCTTGTATCTACCTCCAGTGCCGCTGTCGGAAGATGCTGAGGTTGGCGCGGTGCTGGATATTTGGTGTGATGTCTACCTAACGGAAGATCAGGTTGCCAGAGACAGAGCATCGGGTTAGCCCTTGCGCTTAGAGAGGCTGCATTTCCAAGTGACCTGGTGCTTCTTTATAACCCGCAGCTTAACCAGCCGACTTCGGTGTCAGTAGCCGTAGCGGTCAACAATTACACTCTTGATAAACGGGAATAGCCCCCCATCAATTGCAAGCCGCACGAAGACGCACAAGTCAAATTATGCAGCAGGCTAATTTCGCCGTCGGCAAGGGACTGTCATCTAGCAGGGCCGAATAGTAGCATCACGGGAAGCCAAAGTGCGTTCACATCTTACCGAGTGGGAAAAGTGTTGCCCTCCTCCACAATGACAAGATAGCGTATCGTATCATGATTGTACTTCGGTGCTGCTGCTCCAGAGCAAGTCAATAACTTACACGTTAATAAAAACAAAACCCGTTGATAAGATTCATGATGACTCAGCTTTTTGTTGCGCCATAGACACGTCACAATATAAGAATAATTTGTGACGCATGTTGTAACTAGCACGGCTCATGACCGCCCCACGTCCATGGCGCAGTGGACAAGTGGGGAGTTGGCAACCCCATGTTTCTAGCGTGGCGAAGTTGAGAGTTGAAGCCTGTCGAGAGGACCGAGTTTAGATTTACACGAGCCAATGAGCCGGTAAATGAAGTTTAGAGGTACGCATCAGAGGTGCAGTAACCTGTTACTCGTTATTGTCCCGCCAGTGAGCCGACAGTTGCCCGTCGTCCATCTCCATCGCACGAAGAGAGGGAACTACTAACTTGCTCTTTTTTTTTCGTTCTTGTTTCTATTTTTTCTTATAATATAGATAGATAGACCTAGTCTAGTAGTAGTTCCTCTTCTGTCTGTGAGTGTTTTTTGTTTATTTGTATTTTGTTTTGAGTTTCTCAGCCAGCTGTTGGCTGCTGCTGCTGCTGACCCGTACGTACGGTACATACATATTATATGTATGTATGTCCATGCATGCATGTCCAGCTGTATTCTTCCTGTCAGTCAGTCAGTGAGTACCTGCTGCCGCCCGCTTGGTAGTTGTTGAGAGTCTAGCTAGTAGCTAACAATCACTCTCTGTCTGGTATACTGACTGACTGGTAGTTGTATACGAACGAACTTGCGGTATTAACAGCTACAGCATAATTATTAATGCACGTACGTGCGCCCCGATGACCTGTGCCATTCATTATCCTCCCTCTCGAGTAGAGCGAGCGAGGCATACGCGTGTCATGCATGCAATCATTGATTGATACGTCGACAGTTTGGGCGCGCAGTCTAGCTAGCCTGCGCCGTTTGCACAATACAATTAAGTGACGACGACGCTCTTTTCTCTCTCCTCCTCTCACCCACTGGAGCACATGATTCAACCAGACGAGAAAGCTAGCTAGCTTCACCTACTTGATTAACATTTTCCCCAGCCGGCACGTCACTCACTACTACCCACACAACACGGACGGAGTATAGAGGCCAACATGTTTGCTTTGACTTAATAGCACGATATCACAATCTGTACAAATACAATCCTCCTCGCCGCCCTTCCCATCAAACCTTCTCCCACTCCTCATCCACCCTCCCAGCCAACCCGCCAAAGAAACAAGCCAGCCCAAACGCCCCCGGATCGGGAACCTGCTCAAAGCCCTTGCCGCCCACGTACACCGTCCTCCCCAAACTAGCCTGCATGCCCTTTGTATCATCAGCCGCCTTCGCCGCAGCCTCCGCGGCCTTCTTCACGTCCCCCGTCTTGCCGAGGACTTCAACGAACGGATACAGTGCATCCACAAGGGTTCTGTCCCCGGGCCGAGCAGGTGTATACTTGGACAGCGCGCCGCAGGATTGCTCAAGGGCCTTGGCCCACGAAGAAGGCGTCAGTTCGCCGGAGGGAAGGGAGCGAAGCGCGTGAGCAAGCGCGTTGAGGAAGATGGCGTAGAGGGCGCCGGATGTGCCGTCCATGGTGGACTCCACGACGGGAATAATGGATGTCAGTGTCAGGACGGGGTCGTCGGTGAGGGTAGTTTGGTTCATGTGCTTCAAGACAGCTGAGAGAGAGTTAGCGATGCCCATCGATCGTTGTGCCCGTATGCGGAACTCGTCAGACGTACCCTCTGCTCCTCTCTTCAACCCAATGCCGCAGTCCCCATCCCCGACGACGGTATCATACCGCGTGACTTCTGGCTCAGCGGCAATGACCCTCTCCAGAGCCAATTCCAGCCTCTCCTTGACGATGCTCTTGTCCATCCTCAGCCCGCTGGGCTTGGCTTGCTCACCTTGACCCCTCTCCTCCGTGCGCGTGGCCGTGTTCTTCGCCTCCCACGTCTCCTTGCGGATCGGTGCCGACCACCCCGTCACTTCTGCGCCAGCATCAAGCAGCTCAATCATCCCGGGGCCGCCGATATCCGTATTGACCACGTTGAGCAGCGAGATGCTGAATCCTAACCCGTTCAAACTGGTCATAAATGTACCCGTTACGATGCGAACAGGGTGGATTCCATATTTGGAGTCCAGCTGCGTCACAACTTCCGTCGTAATGCCGCCCATTTCCAAGACGGACACGCCTCCCAAATTGTTGATCATCAACACGACCTCATTGGAGTTGACGTTGAGGAACGCGCGGTCCTTGTCGCCGGAATCAAGCAGTTGGGCAAGCATCCTGCCCACCAACCGAGGCAGATCGAGCTTCGCCCTCTCGGAGCCAGGCTCGTTGTGAATGCCCATGCCGATCTCTGCCTCCCCCCGTGCCAGCTTGTCGTCCTGGGCATCGACCGCCCTCCCCGGCACGTGAACGTGCTCCAAACTCGCCCCGACGCTGACGGTATTCTCGGCCGTCAACCTCGCCACCTTGGCGACGTCGCTCAGAGACCGGCCCCTTGCTGCCAAAGCACCCGCGATCTTCAGCACGAGCACCGTTCCCGCGATACCCCTTCTCCCCACCTTGCCTGCCTTTGCTCTGCCGACGCCCACGTCATCGCCCACCACCACCATTTCGACGTCTAACCCGCTGGCCTTGGCCTTCTCGACAGCCACGCCAAAGTTGAGCACATCGCCTGTGTAGTTCATTACCACCACCAACACACCCTGGGAGGTATCCACGCGGGAGGTGATGCCCGTACGGACCTGTTCCGCGGATGGGCTGGCGAATATGGTACCTGCCACTGCGGCGGAAAGCATGCCGGGACCGACCATGGCTGCGAAGGAGGGCTCATGGCCGGATCCGCCGCCGGAAATGATTGATACTTGGGGAGTTGCATGGCTTGGGCGGCGGTAGATGATTTTGGAGGCTGGGTCGAGAGCGACGTTGGGGTTGGTAAGGGTCAGACTGTGGAGGGCGTTGTTGACGAGCTGCGTTGGGTCGTTGATGAAGTGTTTGGACGACATGGTGAAGGTGTTGGTGGCTGATGAATTTCCAGAAAGTATGGCCCTGGGGTGTAAGTAGCTTGGCTTCGTTGATTAACGATGCGAGCGCAGAGATCGATGTGACGACAAGAGGAATTATAACAAACACGAGTTAATTTGTCCCAAGAAGTAGATATTCCATTGATAATAGAATCACCCACTTGCTCTTGAACAATCCGGCAGGATGATATCAAGTGGCGCAAGTGAAATGACGAGCGGGGTCACAGTCGTCCGTCGTCCGTCTGCATTGAGTTGTGAACCCGCCCTGCACGGGGAATGCAGATACCGACGTGCATATGCAAGGTCGTGGTGGGGAAGAATCCTTGGACTGATGCTGGCGGCCTGAAGTGCCAAATTCCCGAAAGTCTAGAGGAAGCCACAGATGCGGATCCTGGATGGCTTCGCTCCAGGTCGCGAGGTGTTGCCTCGCCCGCCAATGTAGGATACGCAGCCCCATACATCCAAATCATTCTATTGCTAACCGTTCGAAGACTTATATGCTCCGCTGTCTTGATGCAATACTCGAATCGAATCTAACTGACATAGAAGACGCCATGCTGGTTGTAAACCTGTGGCCTTTCTGGCCTCCTCTTATGGAGCCAGTCTCCCAATGGCAACAACTGTTTGCTTGCCCTTCTCATTCCAATTCCAATAAACGCCGTTCCATACAAAACCCAAGAATCATGGATGGTATCCCCACCTGCTGAACTATAAAAAAGAAACAGCTCCAGCTGAATTAAAGACAAAGCAAAAGGCCAACACCCCAGAGGTATCTCCTATCTAAACTCCAGGAGCATAAATGCAGTTCCGCCAAGGGCACCTACAATGAATAGCATTGTGATAACACCTGCGCCTGCCTTGTCCGCCGTCGTCAAAGGCTTCAGCACGGTCGGATCTTCAGTGCCACCACTGCCGGCTGATGGGTTGCCTTTGGATGTACCACCATTGTTTTGCGTCACCGGAGGCGTTGACTTTCGCACGAGGTTATACATGACTGCATCTAAAGCATTCATCTGCTCACCAACACCGACCATTCCATCGAACCTGCCCTGCGGGATCCAGCTGAAGCCGCATGCAGTCCCCGTCTGACCCTTGAAATTTGGCGGCGCTGTTGACCCGGTGCAGGTAGATGCAGCGACCGCGCCGGCCTTTTCAAGCAATGGTTTGATGGTGTCATAGGTATAAGGAACCAGTTGGCTCGTGGCCGCAAGCCAGCGAAGGAGGTAGCCCTTGAAACTCTGTTGGTCGTTGTTGCATACTTTGTTGAACTCGCAAAACTGCTCGTAAACGACACCGTCTTTGAAGAACTTCTCTGAAGCATGCTTCAAAATGCCATCAACTGCCTTCTTCCACTTGTCATCCGACGTAGCATTGTACATGGCCGCGGCACCATGGAGGAAAATGCCCGCGTTATAGGACCACTCGAGCATATCGATTCTTGAACAAGTCCCGTCCGGGTCGATACTGATACCATCATGCACTCCGTAGTCACTGGTGATCAGGTTGATGGATTGTTGCCACTCAAAAATTTTGGTTGCCCATTCGCCGTAGGTACTGTTGCCCGTATAACGATGCAGTCGAGACGCTATGTTGAAGAAGCATCCGTTTGAGATGGAGTTTTTGTAGTTCCAGCCATTGTTGAATTGGAAAATTTGCCATCTCATGCCGCCCTTGCAGTCGGCTGGATCCCATCGCAGAACGTATTGGTTGAACACGGCCTGTGCCAGGGCAAGCCACTGGGCTTGATCGCTGGGAGGGTCGGGGAATTTGTTCTCGGCGGCAGACATGGCCGCCATGGCCCAAAAGCCTTGATCGTCGTTTCCTTCGGTTCTTGTCTGATTCTTGGGCATAAAATCCTTCGTGTCGCCGGCTTGGTGCAGCAGAGCCTGCATTGTGGCGTCATTATAAGAGCTGTCCCCCGTGAGATGCCAATAGTCAATGATGGTCCCAAACATGGCCCCTGCCTCCCACCCTGCTTGGTGTTAGCGTCATGTTGGCGCGTGGTCGGAACGAGGAGTCGTTCTCACAATAGTATGGATCAGGCAAGTTTCCTGGTGTATCGCCCGTATTGTTTCCGGTATAATATTTCATTAAGCCGTAGGCGATTGTCCCGGCTGTGCTCTTGATGGAGGCTAAACGTCACGAGTAATTAGACCACTGTCCACGAAGGAATCTATCGAGGGGCTCGCCAAAGCTAACCCACCTTCATCTTGAATTTGGACATCAAGACCATTGACGGGAGTGCCCACGAGGACAAGCGACAATGCCGCTGCTGACACGAAGCCTCTCATGCTGCTATAGCGGCGCAAGAGCAAGCCCAAGAATGTAAATATGTAGAGAATGAACTGAAGAATAGGACTCGTTGGTGGAGCCTGTAGCGTCTAGAGTCAACGAGAGAGAAAAAATGTTGATACAAGCCCAGCTTGCATTAGTCTAATCGTGATTGCGGGATATTAATCAAGAACAAAATCGACCCCAAACTTGAAACTGGCGTCGGGCGTGAGATTTTCGATATATGTCGGCAAAATGCAGGCAGGAAGAAAAGCAAGGAGGTTGTCAAATCCCCTGCACCATCGGTATAGGAGTCGAGAAAGACAAACACAAAGCGCGAGCGAAATCGAATGTTGAGCGAGCGAAAATGAAGTCGGCAGCTACCGTACCAGGCGACTCCTCCACGTAAGCTGCTGCTTACTAGTCGAAGAAGGAGGTATGGGACGCCGAGAGAGTGAAGAGGGACAAAAGACGGAGGAGGTGAAGAGTGGGAAATGAACGGTAATGGATGGCTATGACATGGTTGCAGGGAGTGACGGTGGTCAGCAGTCGGACCCTGCTCACTTCTCAGGAGACATCCATGGGGATTGTGGGTTTGGGATGCTACTTGGTCACTGCTCCGTGAAAATCCCGGTCGGGGCAAAACACGACTTCCGTGCCGTTCTTGGAGAGGCTTGGTGCCATGGATCATCTTCGTCTGAACTCGTCTCCCAAGCCACGCTGTTGTCTGGCTTTACCGCTGTCATCTCGTAGAACGGCTCAAAGAATGCAGCGTTGATCCTTCTCAAGCCCTCTGATCTGTGACACTCGTCCGCAGAGCCGTGCATGTCTCCCGAATGAGGCTGTGTCTGTTGGCCCCATGCCATTGGACGCCTGAAACGACTTGGTGGCGTTAAGTAGCGGGCTATGTTACAGAAGGATCTGAGAGGCGATTCTACTGTTCTCCTGCTCTCCGTGATGAAAAGAATCAATGGCGGCGGAGTGGTCTGGCTACAACTGAACAGCCACAGCTCATCAGTCTAGTCCGTCGCGCCCCTGGGATTGGGCCTCGTATTCCTTCATCCCTGGTGTGTACTGGTGGCAGATTTGGTATGCGGTGCCCCTGGCAGATGTCGATGCGCCTTGACGGCAGCACGCTAGTTGGTCTTGGCACTTCCCCCTTTGAATGTTGGCCCTGTGGAGGAGTGGCCATCTTAAGGAACCACCAGACCAGAGAGACAAAAGGGGCTCAGGGACAACTCGGGAAGGACCCACCCAACATTGAACCTACCAACCACCAAAAGCCAAACTTTCATTAAAAGACTTGTTGCCAGCTTGGAGAAGTCTGAATTGAATTGATGATCCATTCTCACCAATCGCTATATGCAATAGTCAGGCAGCTGCAGCACCTATTCAAAAGCCCCGCGCGGCCCCAATCGATATCAGCCTGCGAGCTATACAGCCAGGTCAGACGGCCAGGCCAGACATCGGGCTTGAAGAAGCCTGATAGATTGTCATGACTGCTTCCCCAGTTCAATACGAGCTTATGGAAGCCTCGATCAAATGACACGGTCAGGCAGCTTCAATCAATGGGGCTTGTACGCTTGTGGAAGCATGTACCTGCAGTGGGTAGCGGGATTGATGTTGTTGATAACTAGGGCCATGACTTCAGGAATATTTGAAGGTTCGGTGCCCCTTGCAGGCCTCTCACAACAGATGTCGCGAGATGTGCGCCTAGGCGATAACAAGCAGGGAGTGTTGGCGCGAGGATTTTCTCTCAGATAAATCCAGATGGCAGGCTCATCACCATCGACAACAGGGCACGCGACAACGGGTTTTCTAGGTTTCAATCTTGGCAAGCTTTCGTGCCGCGAAAAGCCGCCTTAAAGCTAGAAAACTTGGCGAGGGGCGGATATTCCGTCCATGTATCCCAGTCGAATAGTTGCAATACTCACGCCACACCCACAATGATTCTGATTGATAACATGGGCAAGCAGTTGGAACACAACAATGCCGAGCGATTTTCACCTTGACAGCTTGTGATGACGAATACAGATTTATTTCCTTGCAGGAGGACTGCAGTCGAATATGCAACCTATCAATAGACGCTATCTGATGACGATGTGTCGCAAACTGCGGCTACTTGAGCTATATTTTACGATAAGCAGTCTTTCAGCTATATTGAAATAGGCTTCATAAAAAGGCACCAGATTTTGCTTCCAAACTCCCGAATCTCAGCTGCCATCAGTTTACCGGCATCACCCTGTTAGTGCAAAGGGTGACATGGACCCTAAAATAGGCATTCCTGGAACCCCTACCTACTATTGTTCTACAACCCAAATGACGTCGTTGCAGTTATGTAAGATGCATCGTTCAGGAGACTTTCTAAGCTACGCAACGGATCCATGGCAATTTCACGAGTCTCGGTCTACGACGTCTCCTTTAGTGTGGTAACTACCTAAGGTGCTAAACTAGGACTAGACGAGTCTCATCATCAAGAACGGCCGCGGAGAATGACGGAGTTTTACGGCTTCGCTGAACGCTGAGTATCCCAAGAAAGTGTGCATGCGCCATGTTGACAAATATTGTAAGGGGATTCTTGTTATCGCATGGAACTTCAATGACTGCATCTTTGGTGTACCTCATTACATCACATCCCTTTAAAGAACTATCCCTTAATTTTCGATAAGAAAACTGGTGAGGTCCAAGTCATGGCCCGATAACAGACGACA